GGCGCTCATTCGATAATGGCAGCTTGTTCTTTATGGCCAGGCCGCGCTAAATATACAATCTTTTTTTAGTCGTATATAAGTGCAGTGGCCTGCAAATTTCCTCTTTTTTGGATGGAGTACTGAATCTATATGTGCAAAATACATACGCACCGTTTCTCAGTGAAGAAAGAAAACCAAATGATTAAAATGAAAATTACATTTGATAATTTCCTTCAGAGTCCAAACTTTTATCATCGTAACCAAACGGTAACAAATATCTCTAACATGATTGGTTATCATAAGTCTGATTAGAGCACTAATCATGGGAAATCCATATCTTGCAGCACTTCAGTATTCTTTCCTTTGATTCAAGTAGGTAGCCATAATTCTTAGACAAAAGATATTGCATATCACTTTAATCTAAAATCATTGTAAACTACAACACATCTACAAAGGCTGTTGCAGCGTTACTTTGAAAAGAGTGCAGGGAACCCTGATTGATATCAAATTAAAGTTCATTTTTGGGTGTCTTTCAACTCACTAGAAACTCGTTTTTTTCAATTTCTTGCTCGTTAACAGCTGGTTAAGTTTAAAAAGGCATTCTCTATCCAAAATCACGCAAACAATTTCGAAACTTTACGCGATATTGAACAATCTTTGTATGGCGTCCAAATTTTGCCATACATCTGTACTCAAATCATTTTCAACGACCATTCACAGTGGGAGTAGTTATTCGGGTTATTTTATGATAAGCTATCCTGTCAGATGGTGAATATTAGTTGTCATTTTATGTAGGAGCCATTACGATTATCTGACGAAAATCTTCGTTTAAAAGATGAAAAGATTTTGAAATTCGAAATAGATTAAAAGAGAGTGGCCTGCCGATTCAACACATTTTAAGGCAAAAGCGAACTTTTTTGTGATAGTTTGTCCCAGAAAGTACTCGAAAAAATGGGGTTTTGTCGTTCTAGGGAGTGATTTTGTTATGGCTGAGCGAAAGTAATTTCCCGCTGATTGTCCTGAACAAAATAGTGAGTGGTAAAGCGAATTATAAAAGCAGTACTTTAGTCAGTTTTATCTTATGAATGATTACGTCTTAAAGTTCGATTAAATATTTACAACTCTTCGGTCAAAAAGGCGTTTGTGAAGCCTGAGGCAAGTAGCACAAAATTACGGTCTTACTCCGACGTAAAAGCTGATTTATATCTTATCCCTGCTCCAGAGGTATCCTTCCTTTTCGAATGTGGTTTGGATTCCCGTTTAAACGCGATAACAGGGCATTCTGCTAAGTTTTGCCTTTTCAGTACGGTTTTTTTTAATTATTAAACGGGTAAAAAGTTGCGAAACACGGAGATAAAAACGCCGAAAATGGTTCACCGAATAAATTGCATCTACATGAGTAAAGCTTGTTACCATCATGTGTTTCTAATGGGTGTCTAGCGAAATTATTGTTTCATTGCTTGCGAACAGTATATTGATGCCTCTGTTGAAGGTTTTGTACTTGAAGGATTTGGGATAATTTATCATGTTTGCAAGGTAGAATGATGAAAAATTGCCGTCAAGTTCCTTCATGTATTATTAGCAGATTCTTTTGTCAAATTCAGCTTTAGATGACGTAATATTTTAAAGCAGCTTTATTCCTCTATTTAAAGTCTAGTCGTTAATGTGTTCCAATGTCATTTATTGCTGGTTGTTTGCGTTAGTGAGTGTTTTCTTGAGAAACGCATCCGTTTTAATATGAGTTGTTTATTTACGTCCTATTTATTCCATCCGACTTAAATGCAAATTTCCGAAACTCTCTCAGGTATGCCACATAAACTTACTTGCTGTTTCACCGTGGGAGACTTAAAAACATCAATTCATTTTTTTTTTAGGCCAGTTTGTGAAAGCTGTAGCGAGAAATGTCTCGAAATCATTATAATACGCGTGAAAACAGGAATCCACTTCAAATTTCTCCTTGAAAAAAATTAGGCGCATACACCAATTAAAGCCGCTTGGTTGAAGCAAGCTTTAATCCTGATTAAAATTAATATAAACTATAACTGTAATTTGAAAGTGTTTGTTATAACTAGGAATTTTGAAAAGTCGTTTAAGTGGTAGAAAAAAAAATTCAATGGCATATCGTAACTGAAGCGTCTCTTATTGAGATCTGGACAAACTGGCCTTCGAATAGAACTTTGGTTTAACGAATCATCCAAGCATTACTAACGGCGTCTTCCTGGGCCTCGCCAAATATTGATAGGGGGGATTATTGTCATTTAGGTGCCTATAATTTGAAAGAGAATGTGAAAAAAAAATATGTTTTGTGCAACTGTTTGCTTCTTACCTGATAGGTCTTGTAGAATTCTTCTGTTGAACTTTGAAGCCCAATTATCGGAATATCACTCTTACTCAGTACGTCCACAAGTACATAATTTTTCTTTGGCGGTAGAAAGCTTATCACGACACTAGCATTGTGTTCGATTATGTGCTCTAGAATTTTTCGCCACAGTGAATGCGGCGTTTCTTTTTGCTTCCACTCTATTGCCGTTCCTTCCAAACTCAGAACAGACGAGACATCTTTGTAGCGCTGAAGTATCTGCTCACAAGTCGAATTCAGATCGTATCGTTGAATTTCCTCGGAGATAAAGACGAGCTTCACAACTGGTTGAATTAAAGGAGTCGAAGTCGCGTCAATACTACCACACCGACATTGAAGAAGCAAAATTGATATAATGTAAGTCTTGCACAAATTCTGAAACATCGTCAATATGATGCTGCTAAATCATCAGATGAGAGGTACAAAGCCAAAAAGTTAACTGAGTGGCGCGAGAATTCGCCGTATCTCATCTTAAATTCCATTTCCAACTGATAACATACGTAGCGTGCATCTTTTGTTTTTAACCGAATGAAATTCCGGCCTTCTCCAGCCAGATAGAGGATCTTGACGAAGGCTTTACTCTAGGTTTTTTAACGTAAGAGCAGATGGACAAATAATGAAATCAATGTGTATTTAGAATAAATCCATATGCACATAGCGTAATATTTGTCTTTCGAACAGGTGAACTGTTTCTACATTAAATTCATGGCCTTTTCTGTTCGATTTAAACTACAATTAAAAGGCTTCGAAGCGCCGCCCTCAGAGTTAACACTTCTCACAATATCTCCTCAGCGATTGGCGTTTCTGGCGAGACACACTGTACGTTGATGTGGCGATCGCAATGCTATCCTCGAAGAATGTGAACCCAATTATCTGTTTTAACGCTCCTCATTTCTTTCAGCCGTGCTGCCACTTATTATGAAGTTGCTTTTTCGGGCTATGTTTTCAATTTGGCTCAATTACCTGAGAAAACCACATATACTGCAACGGTGTATATATAGGCTAACAAATAACAAATACCCGGCTAAAAAACGGAAATGATCGGAGTAATAAGCATCCCCTTTGTTTTTGTGAAACTCTACGCTTTACGGCAATCACTACAGTAATTAATTCATGCGCATACTTCTTTTCCAAACTGTGAAACACTTAACAAGTTACTTTATTTTGAGAAAAATTAATTTGAATTCCAGTTTGAGCTCGTTTATGAACGCAGCTTGATAAACCCACTAAATTGTAAACATGTAAAAAGTGGTGCGCGTTTCAGCGAAGTATAATCTAGATTTGATTTCTTGAGATTCCTTGTTTGGAGGACGTAAAAGAAAATCACCTATTTTTCACTGAATTTTTATTTCCGTCAGCTCGCAAACTGTCAAATTAATACACATTTGATTAACCTTCGCTTTAGTTTTTGTTATTCATCCGACGCTATATAAATTATTTATAGTGATAAAGACAGTAAATTAACACTGGTTTAATAAGAAACAATTCTGCGACGAATATTCTGGATCATTTCTGAGTTGTTTTCCGCTTTTTATCGGCATCCAATCACTAACAAGTGCGGTCACTCCGTAAAAGCGAGGTTATTTCGTTGCTAGGGAGACGCTTTGCTGCCTGGCAACATCTGAGCCTTAACCACTCAGTGCTCATCAAAAACTGGTGGCACCATTTGCATTCTCACATTTATTATCTTCGTCATCCCTTATGACTCTTGTTCATATTCTAATAACCTGTCTGATGATGTTCTCCTAAAAGCAAGTGAAAGATTATTTTCTGTAATTTTCATTACCTTTTTCTCTATTATTACAGTTCGCTGCACGCTATCAAAAGCCCCCTATGCTGACAATTGCCCCCAGAAGAACCCCGCATGGGTGTAGAATGAGATTTCTACAAAAAGAGCAGAGAAAGTTAGGGAGAGAACGGAAAGAGATGAAGGAAAAAGGCTTTAAATAAAGGAAACTGGAGCGACGAACGGCGGAATTGAGATATTTGTTTTTGTACCCTGGCCAAACGTTTTTTTTTGTTTTTTTTTTCTTCGTCATTTTTTTGTTTGTTGGTTTTTTTTTTACTTTACGTTATATGTGAGAAATAGCATAAGAGGGGAAATTCTGCTCTTCTTTCCGAATGATGGCTTTCTACGGTGTGAAAAGGTCGATTTTACAAAAAGCTCAGCCCAAATGAATGTACTTTCCCTCCAAGAAAGAAATAATAAAAATGTCCAATTCATTTCAAAGTATCGGCGCGTTCTTTCTCAGGGTATTTAGAATTTCGAATAATCTTCCGATGTCTGGTAGCCTTTTTTTTTTACCACTGTTAATTTCCATCCTTGGGACCATTGTTTCTACATGGCAGGGGGAATAAGGCTGGTCATAAGAAACCAAAACGACTGATGAAAATGCTCACTGTGAGCTCTCCCTACATCGGAGACAGAACCCTCTGTTCATTACGCGCTCAATAAGCCTTTAAACCCTTAAGGTGATTGACTCTAATTTCTCCTTACAGTATTAGCCTTGTTTCAAATGTAAAGGTAACGAGAATAAAGTAAATGATCACCAACCGAAGAAGCTCCTGATTGTCAGACAAATTCTCTTTTGACAGTACTGGAGAAAATATAAAGAGAGTGTGGAGAATTTGCATGTTAATTTTGGGGCGTAAAGAATTGAGGGAATCATATAGCGTTCTCTTTACTTTGCATTATTTTGACTTTCCTTTCATGGTGAATTAAGTCTGTGTTTGATTCTTTCTGCATTATCTCAATCTTTGCTTCGTAAAAGGATAAAAAATGCGTCCATTGCATTCTTCTTAACTTAGAAGGCCAAATAACAGCGCGTTATCTTGGTTTTTGTGCTCTTTCTTTATCTGTACGCTCCTTCATTAGAGAATAAGAAAGTTTCCTCTTCATTTTGGTTTTTTTAATCCCCGTCCCAGGTCGAAATATGGCTTTCTCATATTGGAATCTACAGTATTTGATTTTATCAAAAGTTATTTAGCAACAGACGACCGCTTGAGTCGCACAATCCTTGCGGAAGGGTCTATTTAATCCTTTTTCGGTTTTAAAATACCCTTCTAGTTGAAGAATATTCTCCACAATGTAATTACTGAGTATTTTTTTTTCTATTCATATGCAAATTCATCACAGACAATTGCTTCCTTTCTCCTCAATCTTTAATTAGCTAGCTGGGCGTGCAAATATAACTTCGACCAAAATCTGTGACGTATAACCGACTATTGTAATTGGGTGAAGTTTTTTTTTATCCATATTCATGAGATATTGTAGAATTTTCTGCAAACTGTGGTGTCCGCCAGAGATGGAAGACGTGCTGTCTCTTATGCTGGAGAAAAAGTTGCATTCTAGAAGAAAGAAGACACTCGAATTGTAAACAAGAGCAACGGAAAGCACTCGTATATCACCACAACAGAAGGTAAGCATTCCTTTGGAGAATACTGCTTTTAAATCTTGAACAAGGAGTGCATGAGCTGAACGAGTCGCAGAATCATAGTTTAACGAGACTACACGTGTTAGACATTCTTTGAGGGTAGCTCATCAACTTGAACTTCGGTTTGAGTATTTAGGGTGTCTATTTTTGTTGCTGAAGAAGAAATCGATAACTACCTTTTGGTCTAACGCCAAAAGAAACTTTCTATATGTGTTGAATTTATTGAGGACGTTATTCTGAAATTGAACGCGGCCACGTGGCTAGTTTTAAATTCTTGTATGTAGTCACCAAATCCCTTTCTATAGAATTTTACAAAAGAAAGAAACGTCAAAATGTATTTATCTAAAAACTGTTCTAGATTTTATTTCGTTGTGCGTAGAGTTTATGTAATCTTCCTGCAGATTTAAAACATTGTGCAGTCTCTGATCATGTTGATAAATTGTGTTTTTAGGAACGGAATATTGTCGTCGAAAGGATGGAAGGATGAAGAATCTGATCAAGGGAGCACATAAGAATCACAGTATTTATAAAGAACATCGCAAAGATAAGAACTTTAAAATTATTTAGTAACAGTATCAAAAATGGTGGCTACTATAGTGTCTTATTTTACTCTTCGTCACTTGTCTGATTTTGTGCGTGGAATTGGAAATAATCCCTTGCATTGGAAAGTAATTAGTTTTCATCTAGTCACCATTTTTGGCCTAATTTGCAATGGTTCACACTGTTCTGCAGACTGAAAGATCGTATGCTTTGTTTATTTTTCCTTCCTCTACTCCTAGTTCAAAATGGAGTGAAAATCTAATTTGATGTAATTAAAAACTTTTTGGCATCGCCTTCGCAAAATGATCAGCCAACGGACGCTGATACAAGCTTGACGAGAGAGAATCAAACTATAATTGTCTATTTCGCAGGAGCGATCGCTCATTTTTGTCTGCATAACAGCGGGTATCACAGCTAATTCTCAGTTGATGTTGCGAATTGTGATATTTTTTAATGTGGCACTGTTACAATATACCTCAGAAAAAGATCAAATGAAATTG